AATTAGCAAAAATCTTACAACAAGAGTTCAATTCATTTGAATTAGATTGCTAACAAACAACACGCTTGCGATTAAGCTGACAGTTCCCTCCACCTGTGACTGCAGCCACCAATGGAGAAGTTCACTTGGAGATCCCCCAGGGGACACCCTGAACCAAAATGATACAGAGGTCAGTGATATGGGAGACCAGGGCACAGTTAACAAGGCAGCCTGCACTTCATTGCAAACATCTTGTTGACCTTAGTGTAGATGCTAAATAACAGTCTGTATGTATGTTGAACTTCTTTCGCGCAACAAACTAAACACAAAAAAGCAGTTTAGCTTGCTGTCCCTCCCCCGCGCCTCCGATGAGCACGGTTGGCTACGTACGGTGCGAAAGACGTCTGCTTGCTTAACGCTGCTCATCTGTGTAATGCTCTATTTGAGATTTATACACCGCATGTATACATTTCTAGTGCAAGTGAGGCACATGCATATGTGTTGGTGTTCAGTAGTGAAAACATTTTTTTTTAATCACTAAAGCAGAGTTGGCTGTATTTCATTGTAAACACGAAAGTGCGTCATAGTACTAAATGACCCGATATAACCTGACCGTTCTCCACGGTGTGGTTAATCTGGAATTAAAGAAAGGTATAGAGTAAACTGGCATTCTGTGCAAATATATGTTTTAATTTCACAAAGAGACACCAGTCAATCTTTTTATTTTTCACGAGCTCGCAGAACTTCACACTGGAAAATTCTTAACATTTCACTGCGGGTATTCTACTGCCAAGTCTATTAAATCTGGGGTCATCCAGCCCAGTGTCTCTGATCATTGGGCGAGCCTGGGGTTTCTATTTGGACATCTATATTACTTGCGAAGAAGGGGACATTCCTGGCAACTTATTGCACTCAATTTTTAAGAAATAATTTTTTATGTGTTCTTACTTGGTGCTCTATAATAACCGACACATGGTAAACAATTGGTTAAATATGTATGTCTTTATTTTTTAAAAAAACACGTACACTTTAATCTTTATTTGAAGCTTTCGTGACTGCAGAAATCCATAATCTTTGGTTCTTTTGGTAAGTCACGTAGGTCGAAAAAATAATAGCCCTTTTATTTCTTCTACCTACGTGACTTTACCGAAAGAACCAAAGAGTATGTACACTTTGCGCTGTTCATGAATTACATCCGTTTTATTGCACCACTCAGTCATAAAAAGTGTACCGTTACCAGTGTAACAGTTGTAAAAGGCTTGCAATCAAATTGTAAAAAAGCAAACTGCATATATCATATAGTGTAGTAGACTGTAAAAGGACATTTCTCCTGTTGAAAATAGATACATTTTCCTTTGATTAAAATGTGTAAGACAGCAGTAAGAATAACAGTTCAATTCATAAAAAAGTGCTGTGTATAATGCCTCATTACAATTGCAATCACTCTATTGAATCATATTTAATATGACATTGGGTTTAGGTGATTAGCACACTACACCACTATAGATCCAGAAACCCAAGTTTGATTCCTGGCCACGGCAAACATTCGTGGCCAGCGATACCTAAACCAGTCCTTCACTCGCTCACAATGGACCAATGTGGACCAATGTGCCATTGGGAGTTCCTATCACCCAGTAGTGGTTAGATCAAAGGGATGGAAATGTTCATTCATTTTCATATGACATTGACATACAAGACGTCTGAATAAAAGTTAACAGCAGCAAAGCTGGAGAAACAACAATTTTTTGAAAATATAATTGACGGACGGTCATGTAAAACACTCATCTGCCACCCCCTACTGGAAAATATAAAGACAGACAATGTGAAACTACAGAGAAAGCTGGATTAAGATGAAAATGTAAAGTATGTGAAGATGATGGCGATGTACTTTTCCTCATCACGAGTAGACACTCCACGACAGCTCGTGGAGTAATATCAGGCAGTGTAGTTATCACTTTCATCAGCCATAATCCACTGCTGGATGAAGCCCTCCCCGAGAAATTGTCATCTCTTGTGGTGCCACGATGCAACAAGTCAACCGACACCTACACACGAGCCAATCTCACCACTCCATCTGGTGGTTGTCTTCCTGGGCATTTCCCATACATGTTATTCTTGTCCACCAGCCACCATCCATTTTTATGACGTGCGCTACTCAAGCCCACGTACTTTTCTTAATAGTGAAAATTGTCCTTAACCTGCATATGTACTCGAATCCGTGTTCTCCTTTACATCTCGCAGCATAACCCCGAGCATGCATTATCTTATATGCTTTGTGAGATTTTGAGTTTTTACTCCATCTTCATTCATGAGTATGGTAATAATAACAACATTATTTTGGAGAATGTCACGCATGCAGTTTTTATTCACGCTGCTTAACTTCCCAGATTCGACAGAATGGGCGCATTTTGGATGTTTAGACAAAATGCAAAAAATACATACACAACTTACAAAACATTTTTTTACACCTTAGATTATCTTAATATTAAAGTCGAGGAATACAGTGCCAATCATGTGACTGACTCTATGCTTAATACTGTAATTTAATATCTCAAAGTAAAATATTTGGCCTAACCCAACAGGTACAAAAAATAGATCAAAGTGTGGTACACGTTGTACCAATGTGAAGAGAGACGAGCCAAATGGTTTACAGTTGGGTCAGCATGAGCGAAATTAACACGGGGTGTTCACAGTGGTGTATGTCATTTGTGGCATCACAGGAATGGAGAAATTACATTTACTCTCCTAGACTGTTGCCAGTAACAATGTACATTGGTACAGATGGGTAAAAAAGTCAACACAATGTCACATCATTTTTACTGCACGATTCGACGTTATCCTTGCAGTGTTTGCTGAACTGCATTGGCTTCCAGTCGCCGAACGAACTCATTACACACAAAATGCTTGCCCAAAATCAACCACAATACCTCGCTAAACCATCAAGAAAACTCCGGTCATCCTCGCAGCGACTTTTGGCGAGCCATCGCGCAAAGACGGTGACTGCATCGCGCGCTTTCAGATGCGCTTCTGTGACCGTCTGGAACGCTCTTCCTTTCGAAGCCACTGAAACAATGCACTTTTAAATCTAGATTGAAAACTAATTTATTTAGAACAGTTTTGTGTGTATTTAGTTTGTTGTCCGCACCTTCGATTAGCACGGTTGGCAACTTAAGGTGCAAAATATGTTCTACATACATACTGTAATGAGTTTTACGCGTGTCTTCTGGTTGGCATTATCCCTGCAGAGTGCAACACAAGCCACGTGGTGGCAGAGTGAGATAGACGGAAGCGTGCAGAAGAGGCCAAGGTCTGAGTGTATGTACACAGAGTTCCCAACTGTTCTTTGACTTGAATAAAGGAAACCCAGATGCATCCTCAATTGGAATATCTTGAGTTCGCAGTCCACCAGGAAACTGTAAATTATACAATTTTGGTGACAAGTAATGTCTCGACCAAATCTGAACAATACAGAGGCACAATGAATGGATGACCGCCCTCAGCACGCTGAATGCTCTTTAAATGAGACTCGTATATTTAGCCCACCAAGTGGTGCTCTTTCTATTCAGCATCATTGACCTTTTCAAAAGGTAAAGTGCCAAACGTTTAATAAAAATGATGACATTCTTATGTCTGGGTTTGTAAGCCCCTTTACCAAGAAAGGTGAACAAGACATGCGGGTCAATGATAGATAATGTAGACCTGCCGAGACATCAATAACTGCAATACCTGGAGAGGAATTCATCAAGCAGTGGATAGAACAAGGCTAATAATAATTTTAATTAAGTGATCAAACAAAATTATATTAAATTACCGTATTCCTATGATGATGCCATTGTGCAACGATTAGCACTGGACTAGCAAAACATCAGTCGATGGGCATGTCGAGTGTGGTGGGGGAAAGTGTGGGTACTCCCACCTCTTCAAAGACATCTGACCAGGGTGAAAGAGTAGGCAAAATATCCCCCGAATGAGGTTATCTAGCGGAGGCAATTGCATTAGCAGTGCAATAAGTAAGTAATCACGAGGCTGCACCTTTTTCTTTGTTTTACTATATTCAAGTATTCACGAAGTCAGCCTTGAAAATGTGCTGTATAGGTCAATGAAACGGCTTCACTCGGGTAACAAACTTCGGGTAATGAACCTCGGAAATGTTCCAACAGAATGTTCAGTTTTGAGTTTTAGAGCTGGGCAGTTTAACTACCCAGGCAAGTATTCATATTCTGTATACAGGATTTGCATTACGCAAAAAGAGCGTTACCTACATACGCCCTACTGCTGTGCAGTATACTTGTATAGAGTACATATAATTTTGAGTCAACTTGTTTTGTTTGTCCTGACCAGATGTATTAATATTCTAACAACATTTCTGTTTTCTTCGTCGAACGTGTCGACGACTATTCGCAAAAAATACGGGGAAGATGAAGCCCTGCAAATTGCCTACTTTCAGGCCACTCGCTCCTGTCGGAAGGGCATGACACGATAGGGAGCTGAAGAGAGAGGGTACCTCAAGAGTTTCCAGAGGGCATTTGGCCCACTCTGCCACAATGGCCAGATGTCTTGGATGGGTTGGGCGTTCCAAGAATGTACTCCACCACACGTGAACTGACGGTCGACTGTGCTGTTACCCATTCATGATGCTCGGTTGACGCGGCTATGGGGGCCCAGCGCGGTGGGTTAAGTAACTCTACAATTGTTTAAACTACCATGCCAGGAGACGGAACCGAACTGGTGGCCTCTGGATTTTCAAGTCCGGTCTGCTGACCATTAAACCATAGCAGTATTAATGAATGCGTTAAAAAGCCACCAACACCCCAAATGTACTTTATAACCATAGCGAATTCTTCCTTTAAATTAAATTCACATATAAAGACTGTAATTGTTTTTACTTGTATTGCGTTGCTAACACACATTTTCGCTTGTCACTCCAAGGTGTTACTATTACCTGCTAAGTCAAACTTAAAAAAAAAAGAAAATTCCCCGAGGCAACGAAGCTGGTACACGCCCACATACTTCTCAGCCTAGCCACACACACACACACAAAATAAAGACCCCCAAACAATCAAAATATACACCTGCCCGCCATTGTAAAAGGTGGCCGCTTATCAGCATGCCTCCCTCTGCCGAGGCATCCCAAGACGGGTTGCTCATTGTTGTGGCGGTGGTATTCCCGGTGTCGTGCGTGACAGTGGCTGCCATGTGCCTCTACTGCGACCTCAGGAGATGGTTTACATCGTCCGACGACGGGACGAGTCTCGAGCGAACGAGCAATCCGGAGCCAAAGGGCAGCAACAGCATCAGAGTCATCCAGCCGGACCTGAAGCTCAGTCGCAGCAGCAGCGCCGTTTACCTGAACAGACCCAGCAGAGAGGACTTTGAAAGGCGCTTCAGCATGCCTGCTGGAGACTCCTTGGCCCGGGTTAATGTGATGCAAACCAATACATCTCTACTCCAGAGCCAGATGTACTACTCATCTCCTGACGGTAAGATAGCGGAGGGGGGGGGGGGTTTATTTGCATTTTTCATACATGCAAATATTTACAGAATGTTGATGTTGAATGGCCTTCATTCAAAGTGATGTTTCGGGAGTGTTTCGTTATGCCCCCCCCCCCCGGATGCTGTACTGAGTTACTTTATGAATTGACTATGATAGGTGCACATAGTGGGGGAGGAGGGTGGCCGTGGCGCAGTTCTCCAGCACTGTGCTGACACTTGTAAGCAGAGTTCGATTCCTGGACACGACTAACATCAGTGGCGAAATGGTCCTGGGTTATTACCACCTTTACATTCTTCGTGCAATCTGCACCGACCAGCGTGGTGAAGCGTTGGTCAAACAAATCCAGTGGCCATTATGACGAGGGGAGCCCTTCATCCAGCGGTGGAATGACAAAGTGTGTCAATTTGGCTTCCAAAACGTTCATTGTTACAGGTGCACGCACACTTGCGAGAGCGATGCATTTTTTCTTAGAGCGAGGGTCTGAAAAGATATTAAACCACCTCGAATTGGTTTTGAACCTCTGTTAAGCGAGCCTACGGATCGTTGCAAAGCCCTGTTTGTATTTGGTAATTACACAAATTAGGAGCTGCCGTGGCGTCAAGGTGATCGCACTGTGGACTTGCAATCCAGAGGGCGCCGGTCCCATTTCATCTCGCGCGCGGCAGTATCAATGGGTACAACACATGTTGTCTGTGGTGGAGCAAAGTGTGGGTATAACATGCCTCTTCCAACACGCCAGGTCAACATGGAAGAGTAGACCAATTGCCATCTATAGAGTTTGCTACAGTGGAAGCCCTTCTGCAATGGCTTCCAGGACCTCGCCTTCACTATTTTGACTTACTGAAATATGCATTTCGACTTTGGTGGCGCCAAATCTGAACAGCAATGTACTGTAATATTCCGTTCCCTTCATGCTGCTCATACTGCAGTTGTTTTGTGATTTATGGGTTGAATGGTCAACTGCTAATGGATTTTAGAAACGTTTAGAATACGACTGCAAATGCAGGAAACACTTATTTGAAATGCAAAAAATGACAAGCACAGAGACACAATATGAAGTGTGAAACTGGATGTGTGACATTCCAGAAAAAAAAGGTCAGCTACAGTTTTGGGCAACGCGAGTGCTCAATCCCTGCACAACCCCAAGGGTGTGTCCCTCCTTGTCATACAACATCCCCAAAGCAGATGTGCAACAGCAGCTCTGACAAAAAAAACCGACTGCGTATAAATACCACCAACGGCACGTCTCTCACGTTCATTACGACCTTCAGGGCACGACAGGACATCTTGTGATGGTATAATTACTATGTGCTGCACCATTTAAAGCACCATGCTGACCAAGGCAGATTCCACCCTTAGTTTAAAAACACGTGCACGATGGTAATGTTCTACTTCCAAAGCAAACTGTTAAGATTCAGCACCCCACTTTGCCCTTGCTATGGTTCAGGGTTGTTGCTATGGTTGGTCACAACCCATCGTAGTGATGGGACTACATACAGGTTTTTTTTTACTCAAATTCTTCGCGTGGAGTGAAATCTGCAATCAAAATATTCACATGGGACACTCCTCAAACCAGCCCTTGTCAACAAGATTTTCTATCTCGAGGGATTTTCCAGGTGAACGTTTTTTTTATATAAAAAAGGCACACCATGATTGCCAACGAGCATTGCCACTCGAGCTGCAACTATTACCTGATGAAATAATTTGGTAATGTTGATTTACTGGCTTCTTTATGAAAGTGAATGTGACTCGAAAAATGCTTGCATAATTTCTGCACATGGGGATAAAAACATGCATTTTATGTGTCAAAAGTTTAGGTTTGAAGGGAATTATGACATCATCTTCATCGTTATCACATTGGGCTTGCTCTGCAGTGAGTTTTGAGAGCAGATGACCATTTTAGAATGGCTACTGATTAATCGACATATAAATCAGTTATGATTTTGAACAATCAGTTCAAATTTGATCAATTTATGAAATAATAAGTTTCAGAAATATTTTTTCAGCACATTGCGTGACGTTATACCATTGCAAATGTGTACAAAGTCACATCCTTGCCACGTGCATCCACCCAGGTGCCTCAGCGGTAGAGCGGCTCACACTCTAAAGATTGCAAGTTCAAATCCTGATTGGGAGTGACTCGGCCCATCATCTCTCTGGGGTTGATCAAAATGAGTACCACCTTGCGGAAGTCCATAATGGTTACCTAATGGAGAGACTCACTCCCACCATAGGAATGTGAAATTTCCACCACTGGGCTCAAGGCTGTAAACAGGAAATGAGCACCGTCTCAATGCTCAATCGCATTGAATATTTCATTTTAATACAATTCGACAAATTACAAAATTTACTTAGAATAAATGCAATACATTTAGTTTCCCATTCCAGTGGAAATAATTTGCCCATTCCCGAAATGCTTTGTTGCGTGCGTTTGCCACTGATCGCGAGCGTCTCAACAGGTTCTCAGTATGGATCTACCAACCTGCTAATCAACTCGCGCCGCCCATCTATAAACAGCCCACTGGACCCAAGCCAATTCAACGTAGACATTTACAAACAGGTTCAAGTACGTGCACATACAATAACAATGTGTTCAGTTTACTTGTTGGGCATGTCTGCTCAATCGTGCATATTGTTTTTTTAACAAATACCTTGATTGCTCTTTTATTTGTGAGTTGTATAACGAGCCACGGTTGACATCAGGGGCAAATGATATCCAGTTATTGTCCCTCCAGCCCTCCGCTTCTCAAACCTGCACTGATCAGTGTGGTGAAGTATAGTCAAATAACCTTTACTACCGACATAGCATGGGGAGGCATCCATCCAGCAGTGGATTGACTAAGGGCTGTGCTGTTTTATTTTTAGTTATTTTATTACAATCTTGATTTTCAAACTAAAATATAAAGACATTTACAGACATCTTTACACATTGCCAGAGTACTCTACTGAATTAAATAACCACTTTCAAATGTAGAACTACAACTCTGTATCGTATATATTACTGCATATTCAAATAATCAGCCACATTGATTATATAGCAATATATGTTCCTGGCTTTATTGGGGTATATTTTTCGATTTAAAGCTTTCGTGACTGCAAGGATTCATCTTCTTTGGTTCTTTCGGTAAAGTCACGTAGAATGCTGTCCTCCAGACAGTCTCGTCCCTTCACCTGATGAAGGCCACTTGTGTTGTGGCCGAAACGTCGTGAGAATTTTATTGTGTTATTTTATTTTATTAATTTATTATTTTATTCTCATTCTACGTGACTTTACCGAAAGAACCAAAGAAGATTTATTGGGGTAATATATTACGTAAAATATAAAGTCTATCCAGTATACAAGGGCTATAAATAAAAAGCTTGCTTGTAACAGCATTTGCTCATTTGCACGTCTTACACTTCTGCCTTCACAATCAGCCCCTGGAAAATGTTGAGGAATCTTGTCCCCTGGGCTCCATCAACTTCTGCCTTTTATATGAGGAGGAGCTGAACATCCTGACCGTTCAGATCATCCAAATGCGGGATCTGCCAGCAAAAGAATTCGGGAAGCCAGCCTCCTTCATCTGCACCGTGTCGCTACTGCCGGACGTTTCGTCGCTGCAGAGCCAAGTCCATCACAACACCCCGAACCCCATCTTCATGGAGAGCTTCCTCTTCTCGGTGCCCCTGCTGGAGCTGCACCGGAGGACCGTGCTCATCAAGCTGTTCGACGTCGACAGATTCTCCAAGAAAAACATCGTTGGCAAAATCGAGCAGCCCTTGCGAGACCTCCTGCTGGACATGAAGGCTCCCCAGCACTTCCTCAAGAAGATGAAGCCGTGCCTGAACGAGGTATGCTCACACGCTGAGAAGTCTGGTGTGATCGATCGCTTGGTTGAGCGCTCACTTTTATTTTCATTTCGTGCACTCAGTTTTCATACTGTGGTACACGTTATTCATACGGTGCACATATTTTTGTTTAACCACTTAGACGCATTATGAAGAGGTTGTGGTGTTTTTCCAGGTTAAATAATTAAAGTGACTACCATGGGATCAAACAAGTCTCAGCTGAATGAACCTTGAACCGTGCATGTAGCTGAGCAATGGTAGCAAGGTTGCGACATCCTCTGAGCCCGCGATGTCTTACAGACACTCGATATGGATTTCTGTAGATATCGTGTACAGGGTTTCGTTTATTGCCATTCAACTTGAGCAAAAGGTTACACACCTTTATGGGGACACAATGGAACGCTAATCATCCATTTCCTTTTAGGGAAGGCTCAAGTACATGTTGTTTGGGTGTGGTTGGCCACATCAGATAAATATTTTGGTGGATACGCCCAAAGGCTGACAACACCTTTATTATTTTAACACATTGAAACACGTATTGTTTCTAACACGGTAATGTTCACACAAAAGGAAAACAAAAGTCTCAACCTGACGTGAACACATTTATTTGTCACCTTTTGACTGCCACCGCTGTATAAAGTTCTACATTCCAGTGCAAATTCACGGATTAAATCGACCTTCTGTGTTCTAAATGTTGGTGAACATGTTGAACACGACTCCATGGCCGGCTGGTTTTACCCTGAAATGTTTTTGAAATACAGTCATTCAAATGTACAATAAGCCAGGGCCGTGTCAGCGTCTACATTATCATCTATTTGACCAGTCGGCACATTCGACCTACCATTGTAGGCAAAAGGTCATCAGTGCAGTTTATCAGAATGTGTGAACCACACTTCCTAGAGCTGGCCTTTGTGGACAATTCACAAGCTGGTAAGTCTGTCAATGCAAAGCTCCATATACAACACAATATGATAATGAATTTAACATTTGTGTTTTGCATTGTAATGTATCTTTAAGGAACATGGTGAGTTGTCAATATCGCTGGGTTACCTTCCAAACGCTGAAAAGCTTACGATCACTGTGTTACAAGCAAGGAACATCAACGCAATTCAAAATGGATCCCAAGGTAGGTTTTCAGTTTTGAGAGTGGCATACACATGGCCATCATCGTTATCAATCAAATGCCAAGTGCTATTTTTCAATTATACAGAGAACAGTTCTTCCCTCTGGCTCAGCCGTCTGAAATACTGTACCGTAATTGATTAGTTGACTAATTGACGAATAATTACAATGGGAATACTTTTTGAAGTTGACTCCATGGGTCCCATTACAAACGATAGCCGCTCTTACATCCTGCCACCCGAAGGCAGCAAACCCTATGTAGCCAAACCTAGCGTGGTTATGCCAATGGTTTTAACAAGCGCCACCCATGAACTCTCATCCATTGTCACACTTACGAACAGAGGTGAGACTATTTCCCAACTAATTAAGTGTTGTCCGATTTGCCAAGCAAACAAATACTCAGTAGAGTTCAGTACTTGATTACATAAATGGGATATCCCAGCTCTATTACACAGTGCTATAGTGTACCGGATGGTTTTGCGTTTGGTAATTCCACAAATCAGTCTATGACTGACATAACTGCCGATCATTGTAGAGAGCTGAGGCCTGGTTTAACCTGCCTAGTTACTATGGGCCATGTGGCAAACACATTAACAACAAGAATGTTCTTAAGTTATAATTTGAAGTCATTGTATCTGTGTTTTTTTTTCCTCTCTCAGGACTATTTGTAAAGCTGACCGTTTCTGTGGAAAATGAAAAATATATCAAAACCAAAAAAATAATGCAAAAACAAAGAGATGGTAGTATCGAGTTTAATGAATCTGTGGCTTTCAGCTATTCATCTGAACAGCTGGCAAAGACAAACCTGTTATTCCAGGTTATCCAGACCAGCAGTGGAAAAAAGAAGGTTGAAGTTGGGCGCATCTTGTTTGGCAAGGACAGCTCTGAAAAAATACTGGCTCGGTGGAAGGTCATCATGTCTGGACAACCTGCCCGGGCCGTCTGGTACAAATTAAGCGCACCTGAAGTGGACCCCGGATCTCCATAACTGTCAATTGACAATATTACATCACAAAAATACAGTGACACTTTTCTTTGAGACTCCTGGATAATGTTTAAAATGAACTGTACATTTCGAAAGGTTTACAGGAGTTAAGTACCAATGACTGATGAATGTGGGATGGACTTGTTTGTTCTTTAGTCAGGCTAATATTTACAAGCTACAAAGGCGGTTGGTTGGGTGACTCGTGGGTGGATTATACTGTGCCTGGGTTTGGGAGCTAACGACCCCTTAAGAGCCTGGGTTTTTAGCTCCTTCGTGGACATGTAAAGAGTGAATTTTGTTTGCTCAGCCCACAGAGATTGCCAAAAAATGACAAGATTGATGGCACCAGCTCAATTACATTGCACTGAAGAAACCCCGAATAAAAAGCTGTAGCTCCTGTTCTTGATTTAATTACTGTACAGAATATGGTGTATATATTAGAGGGCACGTAATTGACTAAAATTCGAGGGTGTTCACATTTGGCACAATGTTTGTGAAAAGCGTGTCTGAACTATGGATTGCATTGGGAGTAGATTTTAAAACTGCAAGGGTACATTTCAACAACAAAAACAAATGCCAGTCATCCAGTTGTCGTACAGAAATCACCCAACTGGTCAGAATAAAAGAAGGCAATTAAAAATGCAAAACAGTAATTCAATACTGAAATAATCCAGTGTTTGATATTCAAAATAACGTTAAAGTGCAGTATTTTGTTGTTGTTTTATATACAGTCGTTACTTTAAGTCTTTGCATAGCAAGTTGCTTTCAGTAATCATGAATAAATACTTTACAGCAAACCATTGATGTCGTTGATTCGCATTTTACCACTCTATTTATGTTTCAAATTGAAGTTTCACTTGTTTATTTTTTATTATGTTGCATGGTAAGATGCTGTGGTGAGGTTCTGCAATAACTGGCCCAGCAGCAACTGCAAGATATATAACAAGATGCAGCATGCAAGATGTGGCCTCAAGGCACACCTCATGAATTGTGCACACATCAATGTGTTTTACGTTTCCTTTGTGAACAAGTTTGAACATCATCATTATTAATGTAGAACACTGAGCTGTTGCTGTAGGACTGCAGAATCAAATAGAAAAAAAAAATCTGCCAATCTGATGTTTTTAATGCACTTTGGTCATGTACGGAAATATTGTGATGTGATTTGTAGTTTACTTCAAACTGCATACATCCTCTGTACAGAGGCCAGTTTTGTTGGTTTGGCCATGGAAAATTTGATTTGTATCCATAACCTTTCTTGAGCGCAATGTCCCAGTCATTTATTGTACCTTTTGACAAGCACATTTTTGTGCCGACTTAACTCATGCCGCCATAGCTTTGACAAAAACATTGACCGCATTGAAATGCAAATTATAAGAATTGTGAAACACCAAATTTATGGCTGAAAAATCCAGGTTTGAGTTAAGTGCAGTCGATTTTGGTTACATAGACCACAGCGCGCACGAGTATTGCACAAAACACATAAATATAAATACCTAACCACATAGACAAGAAATATTTACAGATTTTTACATACATATGTACACGTACAGCACTTTGCCAATCCACTACTGGGGGGAGGTTCTCCTGGTGCCACGTGGGTGTTTTGGGTTATTCGACCGTAGTTCACCACGATGGTCATCGGTGAAGGTAGGGGGGCATTGATGTTGGGGCATAGCAGAGTACAGCACAACAAAGTATTTGTGTGGCACTGACCTCTCATGCACACACCGTAGCCCCACAGCAGCCAAAAAGCGACCGAACGTGCATGGTGGTGACCCCATCCAAGCACTATTCAGGCTCAAAGTTGTTAATCTCTGGAGATCATTTTGTAAAAAAAATGTTTCACATGGCAGTTACAGTGATATATATATTTTAGAGATGCTTGTCTACGGGGGGGTCGGCGAATTTACCTTGAGCCAAAATAATTTTATATGGTTCTCATCCAAACCATGGAATTAAAGAACACGCCTTATACATTTAGCAATGTCAAGTGTGAATAATTAATGACAACACAGACACAAATCTACTAGCATGAGAATGACTGTAATTCTTTCCCTGTTTCTGTGGTTTGGGACAGTCATTTTATCTTGAAGGCAAAACAATTTAAGAGATTACCATGCTTAAAACATTTTATTCCTGTAATGGAAGGAAATACAAACACACGGAGCACTTAGATACTAAAAGGTGCAAACATATTTTTGTTTGTTTTCAGAGAGGGGTCGTTGAGGATATGGCATCATTTTAATGAGAGCAGGCAGGTGTTTCCTGCAATAAAATTGGGCCTCTGTGTGTCTCTCACACGCACATACCTTAAATGTGCGCTAATCACACAAACAGCCTTGAACCATATGTTCTGAACTTAAAGTGTCATCAGTGCGGTGTGCCTGCAATCTGAGCAACAAAAAACATTTCCGTCACTAGCTCCTATTTACGTGATGGAAATTAACCGATTTGCTTGAACGGTATAGATACAATCTTAATGTAAAAAAATTCGATTGATTCGACTTACAGTATTTCTCAAAATGTTGAAAGTTATAACCCACTAGAGCAGTGGTTCTTAACCTGGGGTAGTGCCCGCACCCCTTGGGGTTGCGAGGTGCCCTTTCGGGGGGTACGAGACATGGCCAGATTTTTTTAGAAGGTAAATCACCGAAAACACAAATTCTGCACTGGCACGTAAGTACAACCACCCACTTTTTAAATCAAACCCTATATATTAATTAACATTACACATTTGTTTACGATTGAAAACCAAAGGGGTGCAGGCTGCAGTAAAGATTAAGAACCACTGAACTAGAAGGATTTATGGTTACATTTGAGTAATTCCCCCCCCCCCCCCATTTTTATCGTAAATGTGCTATTGGCGTTACATCATGAGATGTGTAATTCGGATCACTTACAGATCAGTGTCAACCCTTCGTATCTGAGAACGCCCTGTGGAAGTGGATATTACACAGACACCTCCCAGATCCCTTAACTTGGCCTCTGGTCAACAAACAATATCGGGCAGCATTTTCCCAATTGCGTGACATTCAGATCGATTTTGTAATTTTCAGAGCTATAATTTAGTCATATTAAGTGCAAACCCGCATTTAAAAATGATTGTTTTTTTGTGCAGTCATTGGTGACTGGTCTGAGACCATCAGCTTTATATAGTTGAGAACTCAGTTTAGTCACAGGCAGCTGCTTGGATTTGAAGCCAGGATCTCAGTTGAGTTCAGTAGTTTATGGGTCGAGTTCTGTATATATTGGTTTATTACATCTACCAATAACATATGGTGCTGCCCTTCTGAACTCCTGGTCATTGTATTCTGTATTAAACAGGTTTTTGATGGAACAGTGTCACATTTGATCGCACGTGACTGTCAGTGGCATTTCCGCATTATTATAATTCATTATAATTTACAGCTTCATTGCTATTTTGTTTATTATAATTTTAGTAAAGTGCTGCGCATTGCAAAGAGGCCATCTGCTTCTTCGCATGGCAGATAGAAAAGGAAGTTGCAATGCATAAAAAATATACAAATTTGGTTTTGCATCAGCACAGACTCGCTGCGCTGACTCGATCTGTTGAGTAGTATAGGATTGTTTGCATTATTTACTCTCCACAATAAAAAACAATCATTTGAGATAGACCCATATGGCAGCTATGCTCCAAATGGGTCTTTGAAATATCGTAACCTCACAATCTGCGATAATGAAAACGATGTAATTGCTCCTCTAATCGGTGGCACACCGCGTTGGAGAGATTGTTTTTCGCGGATTACTGGAACCTCCGCAGGGGTCGGCGGATTTACAAAGGCATCAACCCATATCAGCGCGGATTCAAGAATTGGAGTTCTGCTGTACACACATAGTGCTCATTGCCAGATGTCAGGCAGATGAGAAGGGAGATGCCAACGCTAAGAACTAGGGACAGCTTTTGTTCAAGTCTTCTTTTGTCAGTGTCTATATTTTTCTGGTCAGTGTCACAGAGGCGCTAACAAGAGCAGATTTCAAACGTTCCACTGAAGGTTAATTGCTGTTTTTACTTCGTTTATCAAACTCCTATTTCAAAGGCACTCCCATCCTAGCCGCTCTCGTGTAGACTTTTCATTCACCAATTTAAATTCTGCTCCAGGCGTTGACACGTTCTTCTTTGACTTCTAAGTTGTGATCATCCGACAATGACTTTCTCGTTAATTTAGCGAGCTTTTTTTCACACGACTTAAACTTTAGCCCAACTTTACAGGTGCTTTTGATCAATCTCATTAGCCATTCCCCTTGCATACTCATCGCTACGTCGGTCGTTATACCTGTCGACCCATACTGTTTATACCCCGTATTCTTGTACAAGGAAATTGAGTTTTCATGTCCATACGGCAACAACAAAAACATTTGTCTATTTATATTCTTGGTCCTTTCGGTAAAGTCACGTAGAAGGGAAACAATAAAATAATAAAAATATAAAATTTTCTTGCTGTGATTTTCACACCTGATGATTGCTTGTGTTGCAGTCGAAACGTCGTGAGAATTTTTTTTATCGTTTTATTATTTTATTGTTTCCCTTCTACGTGACTTTACCGAAAGAACCAAGAATATAAATCCCTGCAGACACGAAAGCTTTAAATAAAAACAATTGTCTATTTGTTTATTTGTCTCCCTTGTGATGGGACTTTATAAGGGCACGGCGTCACCAATAAGGTCTGAATTGTTCTGTAATAAGGTAAGGGAGTTGATAAAGGCGTTGACAGGTATGTAGTGGTGAGTGTATTAGTGGTGAGTGTACTAGTGGTGAGTGTACTAGTGGTGAGTGTCTGTTTGTGTTTCTCCCTTGTGATGGGACTTTGTAGGATGAACGTTGAGATTTATAAGGGCACGGGGTGACCAAAAAGGTCTGAATTGGTCTGTAATAAGGTAGGGCACTGATAAGGGGTTAACAGGTATGTGTCGTCAGCACATCTGAGATGGCTTACACTTTTTCCATCCATATGTCATGGAGGGGGGGGGGGGAGGTCATTTTACCATACTTCACCACGCTGGTCAGTTATGGTTAGACTGAAAACTAACCTCCGATTAGCACGGTGCGGATTAAGGTTCAACATACAGGGTGAAAGTGGGGAGCATAGAAGTATTGCACAACAGTGGGTTTTCGTGCAGGGCATTGCTCTCTGTTGCTCACAATCAGTCGTTCCTGTGTGAACCCCCCCCCCCAAGATTTTGGTAAGTTAATCCTATATGACGTTAAATAGGATAATGGCGAAATAACCATTGTTAACACTGTGCTGCTAAGAAGGGCAATTGCACGAAACGTGGAGTCGTAATATATATCGTTTTAAGGCCAGTGTTTGTTGACAAATGCGTTGAGTTGCAGTAATTAAACCAAGGTGCTATGCTTCTCACCGGGACTAAAGCAGGAAGTTATTTTTCCCCAATTACATTCCTTGAATAATTATCAAATAGAGCAAGTCAAGATCTATAAGTATCTTGGGGTCATCCTGGATTCAAAACTGAATTTTGAAGATCACATTGATTATATTGGCAAAAAGACAAAAATAAACATTGGTTTTATGTATCGACACAAGCACTGCTTCCCCCCAATGTTCCGTTTGGAATTGATAAAAACTACCATACTGCCTCTACTTGATTACTGTGATATCGTGTATAAATCAGCCCCAAGTACTGTACTGAAGAAGCTTGATTCCATCTATAACTCGGCCTTAAGATTTACATTGAACTGCCCATATAGGACTCACCACTGTGATCTCTACATTGGGTCAAACTTAACATCTCTTAATGTTCGACGGCTTGTGCACCA